AAAAACAGCTTTGGAGGCACTAGTCGATTCAATGCCGTTTCATTGTATTCACGAATGTTTTCTCTATTCTACTGAATCATTCGCAAAAATTTTTCAATCAGATCCAGGAACCTGACTTTCTAGGGTTTAGGTTTTATAGAGACTTAATGTTCAGTAATTTTAATGACATTTCACACTCCTCAGGAATTAAAACTTTTTCAGCTGCTTAAGTCACATTTTAGATCTCCGTACATTATCACGATCGAATAAAAACAACATCAGTACCATTTGAGAAGGATTTAGGAAAATGAAATTATACAGAACGAATATAGGTTCGGAACTTTCCTAAACTCTGTTGGATATTTTAAGACACGAAGAAAGATTTTTCGAAATAGTCTTTGGTTTTGTACACGACTAAAAAGGTCTTTTAACGGTGCTACTAAACTCAAAAGGGTTTAATAGTCATTTTCGTAAACCTTTTACTCTTCTAAACCCTTTTTTTAAAGTTTAGTGAAGTACACTTTTTTTAGTAGAGAGTAGACGCTTGATGTTTGTACTCACTGTATATTGAAATTATCGATGACAAGTAGTGATGCTCATAATGTACTTCTAAAAAGTTCCTTTATTCATCCGTCATAGTACGTTTTGAGTAAGCTTTCCAAGAACAGTTTAAAATTTTTTTTACATAAAGCAAACACTGAATTTTCCCTAAGAAGTAGGCATGCACCGATATTTATCGGTATAGTTTCCTCTTGTTCTGAATCAGGTTGACTGAAAAGTACAAACTATCAAAGTTTTCTGACGACTCAGTTTTGCAGAGTAAACATCTTTTTATAAAATGAGACACAGCGCAACTCTTCATCTTTCTGCCAAAATCGATTCTCGACGAAAAGGCCTAAACCGGTATCAATACCGATCGTGGGATGTTTAGTAAATATTTTTTATCTGAGTATTGATTCAGATTGGAAAGTGTCGCTATACCTTATTCTGTAGAGAAATGTGTGTTCTATAAGATTAAGTCATCAAAAAGTTTTAGAAGATTCTTCTGCGATATAAAAACTTTTTCATAAAAAAACACAGAATTGTAACAGGTAAATATCGGTGCATGCCTACTGAGAGGTAAGCTGCAATGTCGTTTTGCTATAGGTCAACTATAAATAGATTCCATTGCGAAGATGAGCAAGTTTTGGATTCAGAAGTAGTTAGATTTGCTTGTCTCTGTTCCATTCAAGCTTTTTCATACGAAAGAAGCGCTGGCTAATTCAGAATGTTAATTATGCTAATTTAGTAGTTTTATTCCTACAAGAACACCATTGATGACACAAATTGTATAAATTATTGTTTAGTACAGATATTATACATTTTCTATAGACACAATAATCTACTTTTTTTCTTTAATGCCACGTTAAATTTGTGCTATGTGTAGATGGCAGTACGCTCAACTAATACTAATTAGACATATCTAGAGGAAAAAAGTGGCAAATGGTTAGATAAAACAATGGAGACGAAAAATATTCCATTTTCTGAAGAATATTTAGGCAATTCTATTAACAATTGCAAGTTACAGTTAAAACTATCCTACTAGACAAGGGTGAATCAGCATATTTGTATAGTTTTTCTATTTAGACGTTGGTCGGTCGTCCGATAGTGGTGTACCAGTAAAATTTGCTGATAATACATTCAGTGTGGTAAGCATAAAATAATTCAATAAAATAAACATGAAAGAGAAAGAGTATGTACGAGGCAATAACAACAGGATTATATCTGCTAAATAAGTTATGATTTTAAATAAACAAAGAAGAAAATTTGTTACATATTTCTTATAGGCCATTTACATTTATAGTGAACTAAGTAAACTTCAAACAATCGTAACGTCGAAGTTACAAATGATCAGTTATTAAAACAAATTCAAAGAAAAAATGATTTTTTTACGTCATAAACATATAGTCAGTAGACAAACACAATCTATCTATGGTACTGTTCAGTCGTACAGTGATATATTTTGAATCTTTTTGCAAAACTATTGTTTAGAATGTACTACTAGAATGGCAACACTATGCGTACTTACTCTATTAGTTACCTAGGTTAGCTATCAACTTTTATTAATATCAATTCTGATCACTTAACTACAATATTTTGTTTTGTTTTCTTTCTAGCTTGTTAAAAATGAAATTGTTCGATTATTAGATGCACACAGAAAAACGTTGACATATAACAATGAGAATGGTGTAAGAAGTTTAACGTATCAGATAACAGAAAGTATAAAAACATTGGTATATCAACATATAAAAGACAATTATAAAGTGATTATTCAAGTTATATCTTATCCAAAACAAGAACAAAATAATCTACTTATTATGAGTAGATGTTTATGGGATTATAAATCGGATGATGTTTTAACAATTGAGTTAGAAACGGATTTATTTAAATTTGTTATCGTTATTCATGGTATTGTATCATGAGATACAGTATATAAATAAAATATAATGGTAGTATATTTATCATCGCATCAACATTAATAGATTACAAAAGTCACAACAACATGCAGATAATTATGAAATTAGAATAAATGATCGTTGAAATTTAACATTTTAACTTAATGGCGACGCAACATACGTTACATAGAGTGTCATAGACCTTTTTATTTATTCTTATACATAATATCTCTTTTATTGAACTATGTATTAAGTTAGTTTGTTTTTTCTTTTATAATAAAAAGAGCTCTGGGAGTGTAAATAAATAAGGGCTAACAACGAAATTATAGTATGTGAAATCTGATCTAATAAACAAGAGATGAGTGTGAATGGAACAAGTTATTTATCGACCAACAAAGGGTTTAGAAGTTTCACGATGTCCCCTTTCTTTTTGTCTCTAGAAAGTTTTCTTCAAAACCTTTGGAAGTAGGACTTCCAGAAAAACGTGTTTTTTAGCGTATAGGAGTTGAATGAAATGATTTTGAAAAATTACCATTGAGAGATGGGACATTTTTAAGATAATATTTGGATTTAGTGTTGAAAGATGAATATTTTGAAAAAAAAACAAGTTTCCAAGTCAAGCTTTCAATTTTTGACTTTAATTTAAAATTTAAAAAATGCATCTGTTTTTAAAATTGAAATAACATGAATAATAATAAATATAAACTTATAAAATAAAATTAATATAATAATAAATGATAAACTTCGGAGTTTGACAATGTTCTCGTATTATGTGACCTTGGTTTCTACAGGTTTTTTCTAAATTAGAGGCGGAAAAGGCGGAATTCTGCTCGTATTTCTCAATTTTCTCCAACAGAACTCAACTTCTATGTAATAAAAATGTCATATTCGGAATCGGGAGCAAAAATCGAAGCGACTGTATGTATCTATATCCTATCCGAGTACTTTAAATTTTTTCAAAATTTCACGTTGAAAAATCATCGATGTTTTCACCAAAAAAATGAAAATCAAGTAAAAATTGAGAAATACATATCAGTCGCTTCGATTTTTGCCCCTGATTCCGAATATGACATTTTTATTACATCACGCAAAATTAGTAAATTAGATTGTGGAAACCAAGTTACTTAAGCAGAAACATTATGTGCATGAAATGTGACACAACCAAGTCACGGTCAGTATTCATTGTTTTTCAGTTTTGTTCTCTAATTCAAAACTGTCAGAAAAATTTAATCGATAAAAAAACTCTACATTATTTCACATGGTTGAGGCCCGTATCTCCATCGAGATATAGTGCAAGATATGAAATATTAACGTAGAGAAAAAGAGACGGTTATCAAGCATGCACAAGTAAAGATAGTTCGCGGCTGTATTTTGGAATCACTTCAAACAGACGGTATGGATTCGCGGCTGTAATTAATAATGAAATGACAACTATTAAAACATGGTCCATGCCATATTTATGTTGTTTATAATGCATTTAAAGTAGATAGAAAACCATACGTAACTTACTTATCAGACAGACTAACCAAGCTAGTAGTTCTAATGTTCGACAATTATTTGTTATCAGCATGAATAATCACGATTCGTTTAGACAAACAGCTCACTATTGTTAATGATTCATCATTGTATATCTGAAAAAACAAAAATTTCTAACATTTTTACAAGATCAAATATTAGCGAGAATGTTTAGCTGAGAACATTTGTCTCGAGGAAATTCAACACGTCTTTTAAGTTCAACCAATAAAATGTTTTACGCACTAACAGTGTGGAAGCATGTTCAAATGGAGATATATGTCTCGATATGGATTTCTATTTTACATCAAAGTTACGGGATATAGTTTGAAATGATATCTCGATTAGGATATAATTCAATATCCCGATGGGGATATCAAAACTTTGAATTTTCATTTGTCAGAAGATGACAAATTTGAATTATATAAGAGCAGAATATTCTTTTTCCTTATTCTTTCTCTCTAACGTTCGTAGTAGTCTTTTCTTTCCTCTAACTGATCGAAGAGACACATAAGCCAAAGCAGGCAATATGAGTATACATGCTACAATGACTGGAATGATGATGCTGAAAATTTATTAAAAAGTTTTGTTCGAAAGAATACTTGATAGATGCTTAACAGACTTTTAATCAAACACAACAGAATTCGGTGTAGTTTTTCGAGCTCTTTCTAACGGTGAGGTCAATTTTTTCCCATAACGTCGACATTTGTCCCTTAATCGTTTCTACGATCGAACTTTGTATTTTTATATCTCGATCGGGATATAGAAAAAAATTGATATCCCACTCGAGATATATATCCTGATTGAGATATAGGAAGTATCCTCTAACTGACTGACATTTATTGTCTTTTTTTATTAAAATAAGCATGCTGATGATTATCTATTTTTCACAAAAAATATATAACAAAATCACTGTACAGAAAAGCAAACAAAAAAATAGCACTGTTTTTATTTCATTGTCTTGCATATTGCACAAGTACACTAACACGATGAAATCAGACATTATCTGATCTATGTCCACACACAAACAATAAAAAAAAATCATAAAACAGATAAACTGTAAATGCATCACTGTTAGTCTGTGTGGTCTTTTTCTCTTCGTACACCAAATATAAATACTTTCTTTCTGAGCGCTGGCATTATCTTTTTTGTAGATACGAGGATTCAAGTGATGAAAGCTCTTTTCTAGATCTTTAAAATTATTAAATGGAAATTATCTACGAATACCAACGTTCCGTAATTCTAAATTCCATAGTAACGGCATTGAACCAATTGACACTGGAATCTACAAAGAACATAGAACATTTTCACGCGTTTTACTTCTTTCGTTCAAAAACAATTTACCTCGGTTAAAAATTTATTATCACGTAATATTAATGTGCCAAGATTTTCGAGTAAATAAATATAATTGGGTATAGTTGTTAAATGATTATTACTTAAATTTAAACGTGATACATGTGGATAGAGTAAACTTGATCGTAGTAATGAAATATCATTTCGACTCAGTGATAACTGTAAAAAAAGAAATTGATATTATTCTACAGACAAAAAAAGTTTCACAACTCACTTTGTTATCTGATAATAAATGTAATTCACGAATTTCATTATCGCCCAAGTTCAAATCATTTAAGTATTGTAATTGGGTGTGACGACGATGAATACATAATTGGCTAGTATCAACATTCACTAAGTTATTAGTCGGCGATGTTGCTACTGCTAGTGTTGTGGATGTTAATGCTTTGTGTCGTGATACAGAACGACTGCGACGTCTAAAAAAATGAAACAAGTGGTACTATCAAGATCAAAAGATAATTATACGATAAACTAACCTTTTTGCTGCTTCCGATTGATCTTTTTGTTCTGGACGATAACATAGTGGTTGATTTCCTGTTGTCGTGTTGCTGATGTCATTTTCCGTTGATCTATTTGAATTATGCCGAGTTTTTCTTAAAAATCTTGATGATGACTTATCTCGTCGAAATACCATTGATGAGTCAGTGACAGTCGTGTTGTTACTAACCGTTTTTAAAGTTAAATCATATTTCAATTTGTTGAATGATAAATCTAATGTTTTTAGTCTAGGTGGATAGTACGATATGCAATCTGAATCAATAATATGATTGTGAGAGAGATTTAAAGATATCAGTTTTGGTGTTAAACAACAAAGCATTGTTGGTATTGTTTCAAAACGATTGTGAGACAAATTTAAGTTTGTTAGATTTGAATAGCGGTTAGTTGATGATGATGACATTGTTTGATTATCTTTCTCTTGTTCAATATTCATTACTGTTATATAACTTTGCCAATGACACAGACGTCTTACTGGTCTTAGATCATCTACGGTTAATGATTGTAAAACTGGTGATGCAGTTGAAATTAAATTAGATCTTGGTGATCGACCTAATTCATCATCAGGAGATAATCTGGGTGATGATTCAACAATTAATGTATCTGGGGATGTCGACGATGAAAGTTGAGTAGAAGTACTGGATCGGGGCGGAGTTAGAGTGGATGAAGCAAGAGTAAGGTTCGCCGTCGTAATTGAGGAAGAAATCTGTTTTGGTAACGTCGGCTGTTGTTGATCATTATTCACAGCTGTTATTGGAGATACACTGAGATTTATCGGTGCCAGTGGACGATATTCACTTGATGAACGTGTTTGATTGAGTGTGTGACGCGCTAAAAGAAAGAGACATATATTATTATCAGATTTTGTACAAAATGTGACAATCTTCTACTTACACGAAGTGTAACGTGTCTCATTAGGCATGGGCAATGACTTTAAAGCGTTACCACTCACATTTAAATCGGTTAATGTTAACGCATTCCACATATCTGCTGGTAAAAATTGTAACTGATTGTGAGCTAAAACAGAGCAAAGGCTATACATAATATAAAATCTTACTAATTAATCAAATGAGAAAATGTTAATTTCATGATAATAATATCCTCTGACATAAATCATAACATTTTCATCATGAATCTATTCAAAAATCGATCATTACCTATGTATAAACGTTGTAGTGCTTTCAAATAAAATACTGACGATGGTAAAAATCTTAGTGAATTGTAGGATAAATCCAATTCAATTAATTGATGACATGCCCATATTTGACTTGTAGTAGATGCAGATTCATTTGGTAATTCACTTAATAAATTATTAGATAAATTTAATATTTTCAATGATTGTAATTGAAATAAATACGGTGGTACAGAATCAAGCATATTCTCTGATAAATCAATTCGTGTTATACAGTGCAATAATAGATGACGATTTGATACTGTAATATCATCCGGTTTTGTTATGATGGATTTATTAACAAAGCAAACAGCTTGTAGAAACCATAATGGATTTAACGTTTTTAATGGACCATATTTATGCCAATTGATAAGAACTGGAATACATCGAAAAACAAACTCATCTGTTATTGATTTTAAGGAATTTTCAGTTGTCGATATTCGAGAAACACGAGATAATGATAGACGACTTCTAAGATGTTCTAAGCCGCTTGTGAAAAGTGGATAACGTTTACTTGCACGTCGTCTAATTATGCGATCAAATGATTCAGTTTTCTGGTTTCCATCAATTGATTTTGACCTTAAAAATATAATGTTTAAGAGTTAAAAAAAATCTAAGCAACTTCGCAATGTAGAATTTCTAACTTGTCTTTTTCAATCATAGACCATCATTAGATATTAAAACAGTGATTGAATCTGCACAACCTCTCAAAGCAAGTGGGTACGATGGTATTCAGAGTATTATGTTAAAGCATGGTGGAGATAAGTTTTAAAGTCACTTCATTTATTGGACAACACAATTTGAGAAATCGATTATAATTCTTCATGTTGGAAGATAATAAAAATGATTTCAGTTCCCACCGAATGTTGTTTATTCAAAAAAATTTCAACAGATACGTTGACCTTAAAATGTCAGAAAAAAATATGTTTCATCTCAACCACTTCGGTTTCAACACAATAACTTTTCATAGAAGATACACATCCCTATCTTGCGCATCACAATACCACAAGTCTCAGTAAAAAACCAAGTTTATTAAAAGCGTATATTAAAGACGTAGTATATTAAAAACGTTTGTTTATTTAAATCAATATATTTACTTGACAACAATTACCATTTAGAAAACAATGTTTCAAGATTCACTTCTTTCTCTCTTTCCCTTATTCTTTAATATATATGTGAAATCATTATTTAATATAGCCATGAAAATTTGTACAATGATGGCATATGCGGATGATATCAGTATGTTTACATCCAGTTTATTAAGTAAATTGAATGTTTTTCGACGACAAGTATTTATTAAATAATTAGATGAACTTGGTTGAAAATTAGAATTAACACTAACAGATCTAACCCATTTTAACAATAAACGTCAAATACGATCAAGTCCATTCGAATACGTGTAAATCTTAGTTATCATGTGAACTACTTGGGTCTTACATTTAACATAAAACTTAATTAGCAACATCAATTAGATAAAATTTAAAACGTTTTTTCGATAAAAACCAGAGTTATCAATTAGAGATATTATTAAATTGTATAAAAATATTGTTTTATCAAAATTAGATTATATCTCTTCTATTTGATCTAATATGGCAACGTTAAAATTGTGTGCGACATTTAGTTAAATTACAAAAATAATTTCTCGTTTTAGGTTTAAATGATAATTTAACATATCCATTAGCTCCATTACAAGTCGAATGCAATTTATTAGTGTTTGATTTACATTTGCTGTACAAGCCAATTAAAAAAGATATTTCGATTAAAGCGTGACAGATTTCCTATGTATTATTTCAGCTTAAAAATGACGAGGATATGTCAACAAGATCTCCTTGATATTATATGAAACAAAATTTCTAATCGGTTGTTGACCAGGATACTTTGCTACTGACAGTTTTGGATAAGATTGAGATGCAACAATAGGTTAAACCACAATATCCATTAGTTTATAATAAAATATTATGTGCAACACAAGCATTTAATCATGAAGCCAGTGCGATTTTGAATCTGATTGATAATCACTTAGACTCTTACTTGATCGTTTACACGGATGAATCTCACACTCATTCAGTGTCATTTGTTGTTGTCTAATATAGTCTGATAATTATAAAATTATTGCTGCATCATATATTGAATTTAATCATACACCATATTTGTTGAATCATATGCGTATAGATTGTGTGATACAATATCTGTTAAATCAACAGTATACAACATGGTACTGGGACAGGTCAATATGTCCCAGTGCCATGGTTCGTCGGATAATACTTAGACAACAATTAGCCCAAAAACACTTAGACGAAAAAGTATTTTCGAAAAATCTTTGACAAGTCCCTGTCGTTTTCTTGTTGAAAACTTTTTTTTGTGCTATATTGTTTCTAGAGTTTCGTAGTGTTGTTCTAATCTAAAAAAGAGTATTTCTGACTGAAGAAAAAGATGTGCTGCTGCTATAAAAAATGTGGTTAAAGATGTGTTACTAAACAGAGACAGTTTTCAACAGTGTTAATATATCTACTCCTTCTGAGACCTTCTCACTATACTACAAATATATTGTATTATTATGGCAATGATGATGGAACACAGATATGGCATCGATGATGGAACACGGATAACGCAGATAAAGTTTATTCGGATATTAATCCGATCATTAGCAAATATTATGTCGGAAACTATTCTATACATATTGAAAAACCATCAAAACATTTCAAGTTCAATAACTTGGAATCAAACAATAGATTACTTATCATTGGACGATCAAATTCCTCTAATATACATGATTAACATTGAAACAATATGTCATATTCTCTACCGCTGTAATGCATACAAACGAGAATGACGAACTCTGTTCGAGAAAAATCGACTAATACTAAATAAGTAACCATTCTTTTCTACAATTTTTAAACATATTGATAATGTACATTTTAAAAGTCAAGAAAAGACTCTAAAATGATTGATTAAAATTACTTACGATTCTGTATCATTATTATTTTCAAATTTGTTTATTTCTTTCACATCGTTATTGTTATCATCACGCTGAGTACTATCCTTTTCACCGACCCATATTAACGACAAATCAATATCAGACCAAAATTTTTCATCAAATAAATCATTGCCTGCCATTGTAAGAGTTTTTCGATTTAATTTATATTCATTATCTTGTAGTGAACGATATTTTAGTAAATGTCCAATGAGATCATAACGTTCATTTGTAGAACAAACGTTATAGGCTAAATATTCTTTATCATTGGCTAATGATGTTAGTAAATAATCGATTATTTTAACATTTCCTAGTCGACAAGCGCACGATAATGGTGTTGATCGTGTGACAAAACAGTGTTGATTATCATGATCAATGTTACTATTTATCGTTGGATTATTAAAAACTTCTTCACACATTAAATTAACATTTGCACCACTAGATACTAATAAATGAATAATATCAAGATTTTGTTGTAATACAGCTTCATGTAAAGCAGTTCGTCCATTAATTGAATAGATATCTAAATTAAATGGACAAAATAATGTTGTAGTACTGCTACTATTATTATTATTATTATCATCTTTAATTATATTTAAATATAGAGTATCATCTGAACGTGAATTAGTTGATTGTAAATTTAAAGTTAAACATAATTCAGATGTTGAATCAGTAACAGAACGTAATCTATGTCCTCTTATTTCTGTTTGTTTTTCATCAAACATTTGACTTGATATCAGATCAACACTATTTCGACGACTAGTTATATCTAGATTATTATTCAAATATTTTGTCATTGAAGGTGAACGACGTTTAAATAAATCAAGATCATTTTGAGTTAATGCTTTTACACGATATTGTAATAGATATTGAACTATCTCATAGTGTTGATTAAGAATAGCTGAATATAAACATGTTTGTTCATTTATATCTTGAGCTAAAAATAGTCAGAAAAAAAAGAAACAGAAAATGTATAAAATTGAAAGGTTATCAAAATTTACCGTTTAGATTGAATGGAAATAAATAGGATCGCTGATAACGGTCAACATAAATATTGCAGAGAGCATAGGAATATTGATTATGTGTTAACAATAATTTAACAATAGGTAAATGACCTTGAGAACAAGCGGCATGAATAGGTAAAATTTTTTCCAACGTTTGTACACACACCAAATGTGGAAATCTCTAGAAAGAGAAGAAGAAAAAAAAAAATTATATATATAATTAGTGTGTCAGTGTTTGTCAACAAGTATAATTTGATCATATTTATTTTTAAACCTACATTTAGAATCATTTTAGTAATTTCAAAATTACCAATGTGACATGAGATATATAAGGGAGTATATTTTGTTTGAATATGTGGTTTTGCAATAGCACCATAACTTAATAACAAACGAACTAATTCCTCATTACCAGATCGACATGCTCTAAATTACAGACTCCACTGTGAAAAATGTTTTTTTTAATATGTAAGAGAAGATTTTAATATGTGAAAAATATACCTGTACAAAAAATTTAATGTATCACTACCGCCAGGCGAAGAATTTAACACAGCTTTAGCATGCACACCTAATTCTTTCAAACATTCTTCAGCTTTTTGCACATCTCCATCAAAACACGCATCAAGCAGTTCTATAAGAAGAAAATAAAATAGAACTATTTGAAAGAATAACATGCCTTTCTAAATTTTTTACACTTTTTAAAAAATAATTTTACTTACTTTTTTCAACTTCTTTTCGAAGTTGTTTTCGAAGTTCTAAAATAAGAAAAAATGTTTGTTTGAATATATCTTGTCATCAAAATATAAAATCACCTACAATCAAAGCAAAATTGAAGGCAATAATTAAGATTGATACAAGACATGAACAAGTCCCAGTCCGGACTAAGCTTTTTTAACCAAATTGAGACTTGACTGTGCACTCATTTTTCAAATTAGTCCTTCAATTTTTGGGTTTTAGTGTAGAGAAAAATCTTTGATATAGGCATTTAAAGAAACAATGTTATTTCGATAAAAAGATACAAGCCCAAAACATGTAATCATAGGAGCGAATGGAAAATATTTCTGTCTCAGACTGACCTCAAACTGATGTTTATAGGACTGAGACTGAGACCCTATTGAACTTAGTAGACTGAAAAACATCTCTGATCGACATATGGACAGCAAATAAACTTTCTCACATTTATTATTTTACAGACTATCTATTCAATTAATAATACATACGAGAAATAGAATTTTTAACATAACATACTACAAATTTTGATAATTTTTACCTATTTCATTGTGAATTAATTCAACACAATCCAAACGTCTATTTTCTAATGCCAAATCTAATGGCGTTTTTCCATTAATATCAGGAAAATCAATTTCGGCTTTATGAAACAACAACAAAGCGACAATTTTTTCATTTCCACTTTCGCACACAATATGCAATGGAGTCTAAAAAAAGAAATGTTTTCCAGATTATTATAAACGCTTAATATAACTTTTAAAATATAGATGATTTTAAACAGTTTGATACTATTTCGTTTAGATTACATGATAACATTTTATTTAGACAAACATATTACTGAAAGAACAAAACAGTAGAAAATATTTTATAATTCTCTTTCAATGATATATCTGTCTGATATGTTCGTTCAAAAACAATTTCAAATTCTAGTGTTCATATTAATAAAAAAACAACAACAGTCGAATGAAAATTTAGATTCAATTATTATCATAGTCTATTTTTTTTTTCTTTTTAAAAATAATAAACAAAGAATAAACGGAAAAGAGATAAAAATAACAAGCGAAATACGATATTTTGACAACATAATGTTGACGATAAAACTAATGATGTAGCAATCGATGTTTCAGTTGTTGTCTTTTGTATACGAATGGGTGTAGTTGGTGGTTGTAACGCATTTAACGTCTTTTTTATTGTTGTTAATAGTGGATATTTTCCCGCTTTACAAAATTCTCCTGTAAAATCATCAAGATCTAAAGACCAAACCATTGCACCTGCCAAATTTCTTTCAGCTACATATTGAGATTTTTTCTTTATACTTTCAATATTATCATAGCCAACCCATTGATCATCTTTATATGCATATGGTATTTCTTGTTCACTATCCCATTCATTTTTCCATTTTTGATTTATAATTAAATCACATATTTCATAATATGCTAAAAATCCATCACTTAACGTATATTTTCCTTTTTTACCCGCACCTTTAACTGCTGAATTAATCTTTGTATTTTTCTTATTTTTTAAACGAAATGTTCGACCATACATTGGCATACCTAATACAAGTTTATTACTAGGTACACCATAATCTAACCATGTGTCAATAGATGCTTTTTGATTTAATAATAATTCATTATTTCGTTGTTCTTTACGAGAAAATAAAGGACTATTATGACCAGTATGAATATCCCATGAACCTAAACAAAAATGATTTATTATCGATTGAAAAAAAGAAAGAAAAAATAAGACGAACGTTGAACATTTAAAATTATTTTTATCATATATTTTTCTTTGATAATACATACCGTGATAATCGTATGCCATCAAATTAATTAGATCTAAATATTGTCCAATTAATGCTACATTATAACCAGCTTCAATTTTCGGTTTATATGCTTGTACAGCAGCAGTCAATAATAAACGTGCACGATTAGTAACAAAAGCTTCATTTTGAAATTCACGACGATAATCTTGAACTAATTCTGAAAATATTTTTTTATCATTTTCATTTTCAGGAAATTCCCAATCTAAATCGAGACCATCAAATTTATGTTTTCTTAAATATTTAACAGTATTTCGAATAAAATCTTTTCGATTTATTTTGTCACCTAACATTAATCGAAATTTTGTTCCATTTACTGATGCACCACCCAATGATAAAAGTGTTTTCATTTGTGGATTATCATGTTTTAATCGATTTACTTGTTCATATAAACCAATTTTTTGTTGTTGATGTGAAAGTGCTACTGTTGTTAAATCTCCATTATTTGTCATTAATTTCATTTGATTATCAATGGATTGTTGAGGAGAACGTGATGGAGGAAATGATTGTGGTGGAAGAATATCATTTTTTTCAAATGTTGTTGGTGTTTTAAGTTTTATATCAATATCGGCAAATGCAAAATATAAATGTGTACATAGTTTTGAATCAATATGTCTTGGTAAAAACTGTGCATTTTGTTGTCGATGTTGTGCCCAATTAGTAAAATAACAACCAATAACATATTCTTCAATTGTTAATTGTGGTAAAATGAATAAAACAATATAACCGTACAAGTCCATGATAATTAAAATCTATGCCATTTTTTAGTTGTTACATGAGATCAAATAATCAAAGAAAAAAGGTGTCATCATTCAACTGTTTTTTTGTCAACCAACAATTGTTCATATATATATCAATGGAGTATGGATAAAACGTAGTACCAATAACCATGTTGAACAGGATTCACATTCACACGCGCATACCTACTGTATTAATTTGTGTCGACGAGAGAAAAAAAAAGAAGAAAAGTCTTACCGTTGCTAAACAAACAAGATAATGTTTACATAAATAACAATATAAAATAAAAAGAGAGTAAGAGAGAGAAGATAAAAATGAAAGAGCGATACATCTAGATCAATAATAAATACAAAAAAAAAAACGATTTTCTTTTTTATATGTTGAACGATAAAAGAAAAGTTGAACGCTTTCTTTCATAGAGAGATAGACTAACACACACACACACACACAAAATATCCTATGTGATCGACATCACTGTGTCCGATTTGATAAAATAAAAAAAGAAGTATACAATAACTATTGTACCAGTATCATGGTCAGAAGTTTCGGACGATTTTGGTTTATTTTGATATGTCACTGAAGAATTATATAATATTTTCATAAAATTAGATGATTTTTTTTTACTCTTCAACTCTATTGAAAAGATTTTTTTATAAAACGACAAAATTTAACATTTATTGATTAAATTATTTTTTAACAAAATCTCATGTTTAAATTGTTTAATTAAAAAATGTTTTGTTCAAAAAATTATCGATATCTCAATTTTTCTACGCAATTTAAACGATTCTTAATGCTCATTAATAATAACGATGTGATAAGGTAACTGAAACATTGTCTAACACTGAGCAGAGAAGAGGTGCAATTGAATTAACAGTAAAAAGATAATAATTACTACTGAAAAGTACAAGTACTTACGCGAAAATTATAATGTTCGTTTGCTTGAATATTGACACCACCTAAACACATAAAATATAGTAAACTCTTTTAACAAATTTAATAGAAAATGTTCACTCACATCCATGATCAATCAATGTCATAATAAATTCAAGTGAAGAATCTGAAGATGAATCAAAATTGATCGCAGCTGCACATGCTGTGTGCAGCGGTGTTCGTCCCCATTTGTCTTGTGCATTAATTTTGTTAATTTCATCACCGGATAACAAATCCTAAATAAACGCAAAATAAAAATAGAGAATAGTTAGATAAATATTATGTTTACTTTTAATAATTCCACATTGCAAAATAAGGCTGCCTGGTGGATTAACTTGCCTTCGTAATCATCATCTTCATCATACATCTACAGAACAATTAAATACAATGATGTAACACACTTTTTATAAAAATTATAAAGAACACTTTGATAGATGACTTCTTACTATATCGCTTTTTCTTTTTATATAACATAAGACTTTGATTTTTTGCACTTTCAGACAATTTAACTGAAGTATATTTCTTCCGAGTTCAAAATAGTTTTCTTCTCGCAGATCAATTTTGAGCAACTCATATAATATTAGTCCTAATTAAAGGATCTCTCGATAACATCAGAGAAATTGGATGTTTTTCAGGAGTTTTCTACAGATATCTAGAGCTGTTGAGATTTGAATACTGCCGAAAATGAACTTTTCCAAAAGTTTTAATGACTCACTTTAATGGCTTTTTCAAATTCATAAACAATAAAAACATACAACGCCATATTGGCAGTAAATGAAAGATTAACGTATTCTTTATCTTTATTTATTAAAGCACATGAAAACAAAACATATAAACAATTGTAACGTAAATAGATGAGAAAGAAAATAATAATAATTTTTTGTTTTTGAGAAAATTTTGTTTGGAAAAGGAAAGAAAATTTAAAGTTGTCCAGGAGTATCCGACAAGTCTCTCTACATTCCGAGGAAGTCATCCACTCATTCAAAAACAGCATTAGTTTTTTAAGAAAGCCCAAAGTTTTTTGTCATAGTGCGTAATAGTAACATGTCGACACAACTGAAAAAGGCTGTCTAAGGTAAGGGCACTGGTAAAATCTAACTTTATGATACAAAAAAGCATATGTATGCTCTGCGAAAAAATGCATTGGGGATCCTCCTCGCAAATCTCTAAAAACTTCGTAACGAGTTCCATCAGGGATTTTTTGAGGGATTGTGCTCTAGGGAATGATGACTACACATGGATGTACTGAAAATAAGATGCATAGTTGAGCCAATTCAGGAAGCTCTACCCTTCTTTGACAGCACCACCTTATAGACAGTTCTAACTTGCTTTTGATTTAGCTTATTGTTTCCGTCTTTCTATCATTTTCTCAGTTAGTAAACAATAGAAAACAAACTTTATTGTTTTTAATGAACATGATCTAGACAAATAAATGAATTACGGTTTAGTTAGAGTTAATTTGAAAAAAAAGATACAAAATCTGGGAACAGAATGAAAATGAAACTTTCTTTTTTCCAGAGTTGAACACAATGCTACGTTGATATCGCTCTGGATATTGAACTGGATATTGAGGCAGAGAAGAGGATACAAAAAATATTGTTTTAATTGACAAGCTGTCAATATGTGCTACGCATACGTTTGTTCTACACAAAGATAATTTATGATGTAATGAATTCTTAGTTCTTTTTTGAAAAGCCATTTTCTTTGAAACGGTTTAAGATAGTTCAAACATTAGATCTTCAGAGAAATACGACCCTGAAAACGGATTTTGGTAATGGAAAACAACGTACCATTATTGACGCCGTGTATTCACCAGCAGTCAGCGACTGCAGTTTTCTGATCTTATTCGCTCTCGCAAGTTAATAATAATGTTCTCGATAAAAAGATGTCAGTAAGAAGTAAGTGATTATCAAATCAGCTCATTTACTCTTTTTTTTCGTGCCGATTGAAATATGTTAAATTCAGTTTGATTCTAAACTTTTTTGATTTTCATACTACTGTATATGCTCTTTCTATTTGAGTACTGATAAAATGCCTTGAAGTAGAAGCCAGTGACCTCTTGCATGTGCTTTTGATCAGATTTGATTTCTTTCTAAAACACAAAAATAAATTGGAAAAGTTTATTGATATCTCAAAAATACACTTCCCATTGCCATTTTTTTAACTTGCTCTGTGTTTGTTTGATAGCAAGATGAGTTTAAAGTCCAGAAACGGGTTGCTAGCCCGAGGTCTAGACGAGTAGCTGCGGCAGCCCAGGGTCGCTAACTCCTGTCGAAGTTCGAGAACTTCCTCGCTAGGCCCTAGGCTTCCCCGCTTTTAACAGTCATGCCACTCTCATCCGACTGTTCAAGAAGGGTGACAAGAAACTGTGCGAGAACTATCGGGGGATTTCACTCCTGTCTGTTGTTAGTAAGATTTTCAACAGAGTCTTGCTGAACCGAGTACAAACAGTC